CCCATGGCACAGTGTCAGTATCATCATTATAAACTATTTGATAATCATATTGAATGATTACATATTAAACATATTGTATTGCATTAATTGATTTATCTTATTTAAATATGTCAAGTTTCTACTATAACCAGTAGAGTTAAATTCAACCTAAGTTCCATACGTCTACGCTTATATCCAAATGAAAGCAGTCTTTGATCCTAATAATGACGGAGAACGACATACGACATCGCATGGCCGATTGAACGGCCGAAGGATGCATGAATACTTCCCACGCAGTCCGGTTGTCACAAACTTCTTTTGAGAGGCTTTAGCGACTAGTTGGCCATTTATTAGGTATTTTCAAGCGAGTTCTTAAAAATCACACATTCTTCATGGTTTGAAAATACACTCTAGAGGATTGACATCTCGACTTGTGTCCTATGGTGGGAAAATTTAAAGTTATGTAATAACGTACTAGTGATGCACTAATCTGACTTTTGGAAAAGCTCATTCGCAAATCAATAATGTTCATAGTGATATTCACAAAATAATGGGATGTGTAGTTTGGCTTTCATGAATAGCCTTGTTCTGACTTGGAGCGCGCCTTTCAGTGGTGCTATAAGTGTCCACTGTACGTCTGTCCATCAGCAGAGACATTTCGCTGGAAACTTTGCTTGGTTTGTGAAAATCAGGAAGAGGTAATTGGAAACCTCTGTCGGGCTTACCCTCAATTGACTCGCGAAACATTCATTGTTTGTATTTTCCATCGAAACAAACACATCTACTGCTCTCATTTTCCCTCATGCTTTGGTATGAGAAAAGTTTATTAATATTCTCGCACTAACGATTTTTTCGTGATCTATAGCACATGGCTGTTATGGAGCTGTAGCTCGCTTAAATGAACTCATGATCATCTAGGATCAAAAACGCGAGGACATAACGGTCAAAAATAAAGCGTACTAAAGTTACGCTTCAGCTCGTCAGCTGGATGCGGTTAAACATGGACACAAGCCAGTGCCAACGAATGGGAGTGTGAATGTCCTCTTCTTAGTTTCCAACATTTCCAGCCACCGAAGCCCATAGCACATTCTACGTCAGTCGAAGGAATAACATTCGATTCGGTGGGCGTTCTCGGTTGCTATGACGACGTCACAAGTGGAACCTTGAGTGGTCTGGTTGGAACTACTAGTGAGAGTTGTTGACGTCTTTGAAAAACACTGTGCATTCAAAATAACCAGCTGCTGGCTACTAGTTCTGAGAATGGTCCAACCTTAGAGGATCACTCCCTCTGCGTCACTGTTTACTCGTCTGTTACCACAAGTCAACTTGAAGCGCACTGGTTTGATGCTGCAATCAAAACTTGTTTTATAAACGTACTCCTGAGCTACCTGAAACGCTGACTCTTTGGCTATTGCCGTTAGACGTCTAATGATCCAGTGTATTTACGATAATACTATTTACTTTGATATAGCCATTATACTTACTTGCCTGACTGTACTGATTATCATGCAATGCATCCACGATTTTTAATTACCTTGAAGCCTGAAAATTACAGATCACACTATCTTAAACAGGTAATTATTCAGAATTTGCCGTCCGGTCCATTAGAAAATATAGACGTCGATATTCGGCGAAAATAAACTAAATAAATATGCATATAATACAGATGACAACTATGAACTGCTTTCTGCATAAGCGAAATTTCTTTGGTTTGTGACGTCCGCCTTATTCGTCACTCTACCACACTTCTGCTACGATATAGGTATCGATTGCTAGTCGTATAAAGAAGCATTCCTCTGCGAATGTCGATCTGCCTCCCTCTAGTTTGTTCCTCCATGTTGCACGCGTTTCGGCTCTCATCGAGAAGCTCGTGGGCTGGAGTGTATGAATAATGCTCAGCGAGTTTGTCTAACTGGGCTGACCTCTTTTTCTTGATTTTTACATCTACAGAAGCATTCTGTTGCACGAGTAGGATATGTTCGTTCTTTACATGGTTCCTGCCATTTAATCTTGAATTTCTTCGAAGACAACGCTGTCGTGCGTAGTTTAACCGTTGCCTTTGGTTTTTCCGTGAGAACAATTTTCTTATACCGTAAATATAAACATAAATAAATGATCTGTTACCACAGACTCCAAGCACAGCTGTATGCATTACAAATGCGTACTAGGCATAAATGCCTTTGCTTTCTGTACCGCTGGTTACGGTGGTCTTTAATGATTGCTCTCGGAAGGGAAGTAATATTAGAAACCTCTACATGATCTGACGATAGAAATCTGAAGCCAGTCTTCTAGTACTTTCAGAACCTGAATTTCTTACAGTAAGAATCAGTTTTCGATCTTTATTCGATTTCTTTACGTTGGCCCTTGTTCTTTACGTGAGCACGCAGAACTGCCGAAACAAACAAAACTATTCTGACTCGTTCTTATTTATTTCTGAGAACTGCTTCACGGCAGAGAATGCGAAATACGTGATCGCAGTCACGAAGCGCCGTAGTCTTATTGTGTTTTTATGCAAAGAGTCAATGCGTGGACTCTTGGAAGATTTCTATGTTGATAGCTGAAATACAACACATAATCTGAAAACACCTCACTGAGGTAGATCTGCTTTCGACGACGAAAATAAGCTACGCCGTTGCTGTGAACAATGCCTATTTTTGATCTGAAAATCATTTTTAACGGCACACGCTATAAATCATGTTGACAGAGTCTTTTGCTGGCCTTGGACGGTTGTGGTAGTGGTGGCGTGGTGGTACAATACCATAGAGGTCAGCATCGAACTCCCAAGGTGCCGATTTCGAGGAGGAGTATCATTGTCTTATTAGAGAATCACCTTGACCAATGAAATTGCCATACGTTGCTTCAGCAGGGTTTCTCAGTTATTTTCAGTTGGTAGAGCACGAGACTCAGAAACGAGAGTTACCAGGTTCTAGTCCCGGTAAAATAACTCGCCTTTTTGCCTTGTGAGGTTAATAAACGAGTTGCGCTCCGTGGGAAGAAAACAAGGAAGTTCTGAATATGCTTGCCACTTAGCTGCAGTTGATTGTGCCTTTAAACTAAGGCACTACTTGATGATGGCATGGATATGAAGATCAGCGCTCCACCTTCAGCGTAGTTAAAAGTAGGACATCAGAAATGTGTCCCTCATAAAAGTGTAAGGATCACCGATGTTCCAGCGGGAAGACAAACTTCTTCAGTCTGCGCCCCCTCCTCTCCCACGCACAGAATCGATATGTTGATGTATATGCGATACCAGCCCTTGAAACACTGTTCGTGATGAATATGACTTGGTTCTAGCGGAGAATGAAAATGATGAGAAATACATCTGGCACTGCAGGAGCTCAAATGCCATGCAGCCATGGTCGTTTTAAATGGCACCATAAGCAATCAGGGGCAAGATATGCCTGGGGTAATAGAGGACCTCTCGATACATACATGTATACACACCCGCGACGCAGTACGCGGTGGAATCTGATCTTTGAGCGATTGCGCACTGTTCTCTGTGTTACCGGCTATTTGGGGTTAAGTTTACCCGTATTATAGATGGGGTAATGGCTGACTCGCATTCCATATGGGGTTAATCCGGGAATGTGATTGAACTTGTGGGTCTTCATGGTTTGAATTAGTCTTTTGCGGCCATTCGGCTATTAGTACCTTTCTGAAAACCATGCGTCTCGTCAGATATGAAACATATCATACTATGAGAAGGTTGAGTTATTTCTGAGACGGATTTGCCAAACCTAATGGGGTGGCTGTGAATCGCCTAAGAAGGTAACATTTCTGATCCAGCGCTTATTCCGAAACTTTTCAGATTCGGCGAAAGCTGATGAGCTCAATCCGAACAGTTCTACTTTTACTGTCTTTTTGTTTAATGTCATTTTTCGTGACATCCACTGCGCAATGACAGGAGTCTGCATTTGTGCTCTAGCTACCGTAGAACATTGGAGTAATATTTTATCTTATTTTGCTTATATATTTGCGTAGAGGTAAATTTTGTTCGTGCTCGAACAGGCCCTTGTTCAGAGAAGCTCAGAAACGAGGTCGGTCTAGCATGCAGTGCGCTGCAGAGATGGTCTCTACAGAGGAGGGTTAGAAACAAGTAACGGTGATAGTAAGCCGAATTAATTCAGTGTCAGTAATTGAAATGCTGACTAACTGTCTAATTCGTTGCATAGTGAGGTTGAGTGAAATTGAATTTCAGCTGAACATGCAAGCATAAGCGACAGCGTCCGGGTGAGGCGAGTGAGGTTAACGCTGTTTGAGTACAGTGAAACAAGCTATGTTCGTACCATGGCCAGATCTTCTCGTCGACATCAGGCTTGATGCATTTTATGTAATGGCTGTCGTCCATGTACGGCTTGGGCAACTGCGGCAGCTGGCATATGTCACCGAGCCTCACGCACCACACGTGCGGGGCCGGCTGTGGCGGCTGCTCAGGAGGTGTCGATGACTGGAGATCTGTGGAGTTCGGCTCGGCTGAAAAGCAGCGCGTCATGATCACGTTGAAAAGCGTCAACGGCACAAGTGACAACAAACGCACGGCAACAACGCAACCACAGGGAACTTGCCTTGCTGGCACTCTACCATCTGCACGACGAGAAGCGCATCGACGACCATTGCCAGGAAACACAGAAGCGACCGGTCGGATGCCATGTCGTCGACGGTTACGACTGAGTCTAATTGAGTTCGGATCGGATGAGATCGGGTCGAGTCGAGCGAGTCGAGGCTAGTCGAGTCTAGTCGAGTCTCGTCTAGCTGAATGAACAGAATCGACACGAGCCGCCGAGTCCAGTCGCTGCTAATGAACACCGTCTGCCTGCTTAGCCGTGCGACGAGTATATATACATATATATATGATTTTTTAACTAGTGACCGAAAAAGCAAGCACGACTCCAATACTGGTCTTGAAGCAAATTCCTCGCCTGCTGCATTTCGGCTACGCTGTTGGCGAACCGACGACTTTTGCTCGACCGACTTCGTACGTTAGACGACGGTGTGAAGCGCACGGATGTCGCGTCGCGTCGCGTCGCGTCTCTGTGGCAGGCACCCGCTTCCATGCGTTCGCGTTCCAATGACCGAATCGCCCACGGTCATTTCTGCGACCGCCTGCCAATCCCGGTCCGGTTTGGGGACCACATTCTAATCCTTGACTCATTCCTGCTTCTTCGCCAAACTGAATTCTTAACCTGCCACCCACACTTGCA